ACACACACACACAAATACACACACACACACACACACACATATATATATATATATATATATATATACATATATACACATGTGTGTGTATTTATACATCATTATTTTATATATAGATGATTTTTTTAAAAATATTTTATATATATTTTAAGAAAAATAAAATAAAATTTTAATTAAAAATATTATTTAAAAAAAGTGACTTTAATTTTGTTTAATAATTGTACTAAGCGCGTTTTCAATTTGTCACCACCTCTTTATCCTGTAAACTTCTTTTTCTTTTTAATTTTCTTCTCCTCGCCCAGTTCATTCTTGCTGTGAAGTGAACTATCAGACCGAAATATTCTCACGCACATTTTCACTTCATTCAGTTTGCATTCTATAATTGAACCATGGCACTTCTCGCTGTGTACTCCCCAACTTATAAAATTGTATCGATCCAAATTCATCTTACGAGGTCATAATTGCTGCTTCTCAACATCATTAAACTCCAAGTTTCTTGAATCCCAAACGTAGATCCGGGAAAATTCTTACATTTTTTTTAGTTAAGTGTTTTTACTCAGATATGATAAGATTTTTATGTGAATATCCTGAATTTCTTCAACTCCTTCAGATCCCCGTCTTCTTCAGATCTCTTTCTCAATGAAAAATGTTGAGTACATGTAAAAAAGATTTCTACGATTAAGTTAATCTCTCTGTTCAATATTCATAAGTTTTATATGTATTTTATTTTTTTTATCTCTAAAGTATCAGTCGAGGTGATTTGTAAATTACTCTTTTGGCTAAGTGAATCATCTTAGCTAGTTAAAATCAAAATAATTGATGAGGTTAAAATTATCAAAGTTTATATAAACTACCAAACTTGTATTAGTTTCATAAATATGATATTGATATGAGATATTTACCATAAAGAATAATAAATAATTTTCACAAAAAAATTATGAAATTATACAAGATAAATATTTTTTAATATTGTTTATTTCATATTTATAATGATTAGAACTTAAACTATAAATAATTTGATTAAAAAACATAAATTATTACCATTTAGGTCAATTGCTTCATAAAATGGTTAGGCTTGAACAAGGTATATATATATATATATAAAGCTTTTTCTTTTATACTAATTATGATCATCTTTTATAAAATTCAAAGAAACGATGAAAATGAAAATAATAAATAGAAATTAACATAACAATCCCGACCCCAATTTATAGAACCCAATATATGGCATGCCTTTTCTTGCTTATTGTACAATACCAAAAAGCTAATAACATAGACACCAAAACCAAACTTAAACAAGATGCTGATTACGTAGGAGAAATTATTTATTGTTCGGTATATAATTAACATATAATTGTATTTTTTAATTTTAAAAAATAACATAATTTCGAAGTATACAATAATTTCTCCATAACAAAGATACCGAAGCAAACAAAGGTTAAAATAGTAGAAATTAAAACTAGCTATATAGTAGCACGACTAACCCATTAAACATTTGTTACAGAGGACAGTGAAAATAATCTTGGATCTCTGGCACCTAAATTTCTTCCACCATTTTGTATGGGTTACCGGACACGGATCATCTCCAGCTATAAATAATTGGACAATGTCTAGTTGAATAACTATCATCATTATCCATTTATATGTTAAAATTATTAAATTGAAGGAAGGGTTAAGATCTTATCCAAATTTAAAAAAACTGCAGAAGATCTTCTTCCTTAGATTACCATTTGTCTTCATCGATCCATCAGTGTGTCCTCCCCAAGTTCCGTCAAAATCTCTATGTTTTTCACTGCGGTGAAGAAGAATTAAGAAGAGCAAGATGCTAGTCAAAACAACAATGTTTTGTTCAGGGTGAAACAATGTTAATATAACTTCAATTACGCAAAGAAATAAAGTTAATAGAAACAGTAAACACAAAGTAAAAAAAAAAAAAAATATATATATATATATATATATATATATATAGTTAAAGGATTTGCTCAACATAAACCGAGGAAGGGGATGTCAATAATATACTTGCGATTCCAAGAGAATAAAGTTAAATATTCAATGGTGAATTTCGGGGGAATAAGTAGGAGTTTGAATAATAATCATCAGTGACAGTGAGGACTGAGGAGGTGTATTTGTAAATAAAAATTACCCTCAAATCAGTATAAATCAGAATGAACAAGTAAGGAGTAGCTGTGAAGGCTAAATTTAGGGTTTCAAAAATCTTTTATGTTATATTTAAGTGACTCATAGTGATAGTGATAAGTGATTGGGTGTAGAATATTGGAAAATAGGGTTAAATAAAAAGTTAGAATAAATGTAAAAGAGAAATTTATATAAAAAATAAAATAAAAGATAAAAGAAGATGGAAGGGTGATTAATGATAAAAATGAAGTATGATAGGAAAAAGGTGAATGTGAATGGAATTCACGCGCTGAAAAGTAGAGTGAGGAATGTGCATAATTTGAAATGTCTGCTCATCTTTGGTCACCATCATGACTGCTTACTGCCAAACTTTGTCCTGTTTTGGCACAACACCTTCCTTCCTTCATTTAACCCTCGGTTCTTCTTCTTCACCACACTCCAACGCTCTCTCTCACTTCCGGTACGACATAACATAACTCTCAGTTACTCTCGCTTTTCTGGAAACAAATGCCTGATTATCTGATCTATCCATAACCTTTACCCAGGAATCATTCCACTTCCACCAACCATCACTCCCTTCCAACTCAACTCCATACAATGGAAACAACACCTCATCTACGCTCTTCTCTTAACATCCACACCCCTCTCACTCTCAT